GTTTTCGTTGCTGAGAGTGGTGAAGAGGTGCTGGAGGACGCGGAGGATGGCGGCGGTGGCTTGTTGTGGGGACTGGATTGCCAGGAGGGTGTCGGGGAAGGGGAAAGGTGGGTCGTGTTGGGCGCAGGGCTGAGGCGGGCTGGGAGCCATGGCGTGGAGGAGCTGGAGGCTGTCCCAGTTGAAGGTGCTCTGTTGGGTGCGAAGGTTGGCGCATCTGAGGGCCGCGCTGAGAGCGGGCAGGAGGAGCAGGAGGACCGGGGTGCTGTGCCGCAGGCAGGGGTGTCGGGTTGCGGGCGCAGCCATGGTGGTGTGTCCGGTTGTCCGGTGGTGGTGCCGCCGTGCGGGAGGATCGTGAGCGTGGGTCGTGTTGGCGAGTGCTGTGCTTGCGGCTGTGCTGTGCGTCCGGCTTTATGTGGTGCCGCATCTTTCCCTTTGGCGTTTTCTAGTTGCGAAGAATTTCCTGCTCTCGTTTTCAGTTTTGGTTTGTGGCTTTTGCGGTGTTTGTGGGAGTGCGCTTGTGGGTCTGCTGTGGGGCGTTAGAAGGCCGTGGTGGTGCTTGTGTGGTGGTGTTGATGTTTTGGGGGCAGCCCGTTTGGGGGAGGCTGTGTGTTGTCTTGTTGTGTTTCCGTGGGGGATATGAAAGTGCCTGTGGCCGCGGCCTTTGGGGCAGCTGTGCTGAGGGTGTGTTTGAGGGTTTTCCTTTTGCCTTGCCGTTGTGGTCCCGTGCCCGCTTTGCGCGTTTGAATTTCTCCACCTCCCAAACTCTTGTTTTCTTGATGCCGTGTCGTCGCCTGGTGCAGAGGACAGGTTGTGTTAGTGGAGGTGGCTCATGGCCTAGTGCAGTTGAGCTTTTCGTATCTCCAGTGCTAGACATTCCTACAGCCTTTTCAATCCCTCTTCCCATCCCATATCACCCTTTGTATAAAAATAATAATTTTTTTTGTATCTTTTTTGAATTCCCAGTGTTCTGAATTGTATTTTTAACTCTCATCCTTTTCGTTTTCATTTCAGTGTTTTCTTTGTTCTTGCCTGAGGTGCTTGAAGAGAGCAGTATGGTCCCACTTGCCAGGGCTTCTAGGATATTTTTGGTTACAAGGGATCTCACAAGATCTCTGATGTGACCTGGCAGTTGAGTGTGCTTCAGAGGGGTCTTGCTATGTACCTGAATGTATTTGGTGCCGTATATTTCCTTCCTTCCTTTCCAGCTGCATGTAATATCCCGTTTTACATATATATTTTAGCAGTTTCCTTGTTGTGATGGAAGTGCATCCCTGTTGTGGCCCTGGCACTGAGCAGGGAGCACGGTGGCCTTCCACCATGCTGTGTTTGACATGCAGGTGGGGAGTCAGAGCAGGCTAAAATTTGGGTTTGTCCTGCCCTTGCTTCATTGGGGAGGGAAAAACACCTCAGGCAGAGGTTTTTGGGGTGGTGGCACTGGTGTTTAGGGGGTGATGGGGCAGCTGGTGCATTGGCAGCACTCTTAGCATAGAATGCTATAGCTTGCTGATCTGTGCTTGCTGGGTTGGGTAGGCCCTCATCACATGCTAGGGTGACTGCATTTGGGGGATCTTGCTTGTTACTAGCTGAGGATGTGTTTGGATGAAGAAAGACTGCGTTAACGTGATCTATGCTGCGAGGCAGGTCCCCAGTTGGCCCCGTAACCGCTGGTGTGTGAGCTCCAGCCTGACCAGGAGAGGTCCGGACAGGCCATGGGGAATGTAGATATCCAGGAACTATTTGGTGCCCACCTACTCCTTTGTTTGGTGTTTTGGGGCTTATTTGGGGCAACTGGTAGCATCAAGGTGCCACTGCTTGTCTAAACCACTGCAGGCCTTGATGGGTCCCCTCCTTGCTTCTTGGAGGTGAGCCTTGTCCATGCTGTGGTGTTGCTGAAAGACTTGGCTGGCCACAAGAGGTTTGGTTATGATGAAGTGGTTCTTCTGGTGTGTGCAGTGTAATTGGAGGTGGGTCTGGTGCATTGTGTCTGGGAGAGGGTTGGGAACGGAGCGGGAGTGTAGTGGGAGATGAAGAGAGCTTGGGACAGGCTGTGTTGAGGTTGCAAGCTGTGGATGCCCTGTGGTGGTTCTTGGGAAGGGGTAGCAGTTGTGAAGGAGAGGAGGCTATGGCAGTAAAGCCTTGAGCTGTGTGACCTGCGTTGAGTGGCGTGCACAATATGTGAGCAGAGCGGGCTTGAGGCATGAGAGCCATTTGCCTCAGCAGTCCCCAGATTGATTTGTGTTGTGATCCCTGTTGTGGGACAGGTGTCCTGTTGACTGCGTGGGTGTGGGCCCCCTTGAGCGGCTAGCTTCCGTGGGAGAGACCTGTGGGCTTAGTGGGACATGGTGAATGGTAGGGGTGAGGGTGAAGTTCCCAGCCATCTCCTTGGCTTTTAATAATGGGCTGGTGACTGTTTTGGGGGGGGGGTTGCAGTATCAGGGTCTTGTCCTTGATCAAACAGCCATGCCCCTTGGTGTAATTTTCCTACCTGCTTCTTGAAGGCTGGTTTTTGCCTGCCCTCCCTGCTTGGTGCCTAGGTCTTGCTGTGAGGTTGTGCTCAATGGGTTTTCAGGTCCTCCACTCGTTCCAGCCCAGAGGGCTGTTGGTCAAGGAGAGAGGCTTGCATAGAGCAGGCTGCAGGAGGGATGATCGTTCCTGCCTGCATTCATGGGTCTTGCCTTTCCCCATGTAATTTATTCACGATGACCACCTTTTATTTTTAGAAAAGGTCTTTATTTCCGTAGAAAGAATAAATAAATAAATAAAGTTCTGTAATAAATAGTCATCGGAATCTGAGACTCTTCAGCAGTTGCCGTTGGGACCTTCCTCTTTATCAGAGGAGATCACAGTCCAGAAGGAGTGTAGAATGCCATGGGTAATAAATACTGCCCCTTTTTCCCATAGATTTCCTGTTATCCCTTGATCTGAAAAACGTCTGTTTATTCCTGTAGCTTCCTTTGCGTAGAAGTTGGGGCCATGGGGAGCGCAGGGTGTGGTATGGGTGCGTGAGTTGTGCCGCAGCCTGGCTCCCGCATGGTTGCGGTGCTGTTGGGCTCAGCACTGTCATGCCCGTTTCCCAGGTTGCATGGAGCCATGGCTGGAAGAGGGCTCAGTGGTGCTGATAAAGCCCTGCCTTTGCTGTAGATGCCTCCTGTGGCTTGGTGGCTTCTGGCTTTCATTCAGGATAGACTTTGGACGAGGATGGGTTTGGAGGGAGGGAGCTGACCGGCTTTCCATTCTCCGTGTAAGCTTGTCGATGCATTGGAAGCAGGCACGAGCTTCGAGGCCGACTTTGTCCCAGGCGCAGGGGCTGTGGTGGTTTGTGCGGAGGAAGTCCTGGATGCGCCGGAAGTACCTGTTGATGGTGAGCCAGGCGTTGCGGGGCCCTTGGCTTTTGACATCCGCGCCGGCGCGAGGGAGGCATTGCTGGAGGAGTTGGATTTGGCCGTGGAGCTGGTTGAGGAGCTGTTGGTGGGCTTGGCTGTCCCAGTGCGCGGGGGTGTTTTCGTTGCTGAGAGTGGTGAAGAGGTGCTGGAGGACGCGGAGGATGGCGGCGGTGGCTTGTTGTGGGGACTGGATTGCCAGGAGGGTGTCGGGGAAGGGGAAAGGTGGGTCGTGTTGGGCGCAGGGCTGAGGCGGGCTGGGAGCCATGGCGTGGAGGAGCTGGAGGCTGTCCCAGTTGAAGGTGCTCTGTTGGGTGCGAAGGTTGGCGCATCTGAGGGCCGCGCTGAGAGCGGGCAGGAGGAGCAGGAGGACCGGGGTGCTGTGCCGCAGGCAGGGGTGTCGGGTTGCGGGCGCAGCCATGGTGGTGTGTCCGGTTGTCCGGTGGTGGTGCCGCCGTGCGGGAGGATCGTGAGCGTGGGTCGTGTTGGCGAGTGCTGTGCTTGCGGCTGTGCTGTGCGTCCGGGGGGGGGGGTTCATTATGGTTTCTGTGGCGCTTGAAGTGTTTCCACATGATCTCCATGCTACAGAGGAGGGAGAGCATTGTTCTTTTCTGGTGCTGGGAGAAGACCCTCTTCGGGGAGGTTGTCTGTTGTCTTGTTGTGTTTCCGTGGGGCATGTGAAAGTGCCTGTGGCCGCGGCCTTTAGGACAGCTGTACTGGGGAAGTGTTTAGGCATTCCCCTTTCCTTTCTATTGTCAACAACCTTACCTGTTTTTTGTTCTCAAGATTCCCTGCCTCCCAAAATCCATTTTTCTTATTTAATGCTCTGCTGTTATTTCTATTTGTGTATTTATATTTTTTAATGTATGCTTTACAGTGTTTTATTTACTTTTTATTGCCTTCTTTTGAAGTTTTCAAACAGTTTTTCCTCTATAGCACCTTTAGGTTTGCTAGTGTAGCATAGTTTTTACTTTTCAGAATATTTTGCAAAGCAGTGAATTTTTTGTTTCCGGTTACTTTTCGGCAGTGTGTGAAGTTTGCAAATAAGTGATTAAAGGTTGTGAAGGAGTTTTCATCAAATATTTTTATGATTTATTATACTTTCTGTATTTTATTTTCAGAGTGTTTTTTCAATTTGTTTTAGAAGCCTGACTCTGTTAGGTGTGTAGGAGGGAGGGTGTGGTGGGAAGGTTTTTGTTTGATGTTAGCATTCTGTTTGATGTTCTTGGCCTGTGCCTTACATCTCGAAAGTGAAAGTGATCCTCTCTGCCGGCAGGGGTGGGAAGCAGAGCTGATGACACAGTGTGAATGTGGTTTTTCCCTAACCCTTTGGGTTTTTCTTTTTTAATTAAACCCAATTTCTTAATGCTTATATTGATTCTGTGAATTCTGTTTGTGTTCAATGTGTGATCTCTTCTGTCATTCCTGTGGGTTAGAGTTCTTATAAACGTCTGGAGGACTCTGGCCGTAGTTGATGTGTATGTAACCTATTGAGCCAGTTGATGAAGCTTAAATCGATTACGTTAGTGGGGTTTTTTTTTTTTTGTTTGGTTTGGGTTTTTTGTCCTTAGTTCATCCATGTGCCCTCTGGAGGGCCAAGAAGTCTCTCTGCTGTTTAAAGAAAAAAGTATTTTTTCTGATGCTTTCTTATGAGCAGGCTTGAGGTTTGAAGATAATTGGCCTGCACTCAGATTTTCTCAAGACTTTCAGGGGTGTATGTTCCTGTGTGTGTGGCTGGTGGTAGGGATAGGTGGTATTGATGAAGCTTCCTCT